AAATGTTGTTGCACTTAATGCCTAATTCATTCATGAAAATTGTTACACCCGTACCCAGTCTTCCCTACAACGTCCCAAATAGAATAGTTTATACAAACGTCTCGTTTTTCTTACACGACATCATCCAATGGAACTTAGCTCAAAAATCCAACATCCAAAAAATTCAACCTTTTCAATTTATTTGTACACGTATCCTCGTTTAAGTGCTTTTGTATGTAATACATATAGATTATATCAAGATGACGATCTTCAAATTAAAATCGTTAATGGAACAATCGTTTTACAAAAAATTCTATGAAAACTCTCATCAAATTACCCTATCGTCATCTTCCATCTTGCTTCCAAAACACTTCCGAATAATCCAAATAGGTGTCTCCAACTCAGATGGTGCAAAAACCTATATAGCATATTTAAGACCCTATTGTAAATAATTTAATCATAAAATCATAAAAGTGCCTCTGCTAAGATTTTTCCTACAAGTAATACTACCACAGTATTTCGATCATTTAACTCAACTACCATTCGTCCCCACTCACTTCTTCTATATATTTTTTATGTATCAAAATACACAAAAATATTACTCCTAGAGGCTAGAGATTGATTCTAGTTTTAAGACCGATATTAATAAATTATAATTTTGTTGAACAGTGTCATAATAAATGGTATGACACTCAATAAAAATATAATATGTTCAAATGTATCATTAACTCTATAAAAAAAACGTTCATAGATTCTGCATGAACGGTCTTCTTAATAGGTTAGACAATATAAAAGACTTTAGTGTTACCTATGTTAAAAATAACTAATTTTCAAGCAGACACTTAAACCTATATATCGGCTCAGGTTCTGGTTTTAAGGTTTTTATGGGTTTTGTAAGCAGTGCCGGAGCAATCGTCGGGGCGAGCGGGGCACGTGCCCCGGGCCCCGCGATTTTGGGGCCCCGATATTTATAGTTCTCCCACCTGAATGAAACCAAAAAAACATAAATTAAGTTAATTTTTGATCATGAGTTTTGGTAAACCCACCATATACTATTATACTAACAACAAAAAATATATTACCCAAAATACCCATGTATCACATTAAATTTAAGTTGATTTCTACGTTCTACCGAATTATTTTTGTTGTTTATAATGATTGTTTTTTTTTTTATTTAATAAAATATATACAATCTGTATTAACTATACAATAAGTAATAATGATGATTTATATACAACTTGTATATATCAAGTATAATACAAGACTGGACGGCTTGATAGAAGGGAGTGTCCAAACAACACTACTTCAATTTTAGACTTTTAATTGATGTTATTTTTTTTTATTTTTTTTATTATTGGTTGAGGAGGTCCCTGGGCCAATTTCGCTTTAGACGACGTGGAGGGTTATTGGGGAGAGCGGCGGATGAGAGATTGGAAATGAGTGGATTAGGGTGGTTGACTGTGTTGTTGTGAAATAATTTATAGTAGAGGGAGGCTAGGGTGCTTATATATGGGATTTTAAGGTCAGAGTGGAGTGTGAGGTTGGTAACGTACCAGGGTTCGTTTGTGAAGAGACGAAGACAAATTGATTGGAAGGATTGGAATTTTTGAATGTTGGATTTTTTGGAGGTGCCCCATAACTGTATTCCGTAAGTCATTGAAGGGCGGAGAATTTGTTTATAGATTAGGAGTTTTGTGTTGAGAGGGAGATTTGATTTGAGAAGGTGTTTCATTTTGTGGAGTTTAAAGTTAAGTGATTTCCTTTTAGTTTTTATGTGAACTGCCCAAGTGAGTTTACTGTCGAGATGGACTCCGAGGTAACGGGTGGCATGTGCTTTGGGAATCATGACGTTATTGAGGGTCATGGGGGGACTATGGTCTGGACGTAGAGTAAAGGTTATGTGGGTAGATTTATTTGGATTTATTTTGATTCTCCACAAGTTGAACCAGTTTTGTAGTTCATTGAGATGGGATTGTAGATTTTCGGATGTTATGGTTAGGTCAACATTAGTTGATATTATGCCTGTGTCATCTGCGAATGTAGCAAGAGTGGTGTTCTCAAAGTGAGGAATGTCGGAGGTAAATATATTGTAAAGAGTAGGTGCTAGGATACTTCCCTGGGGGACGCCTGCTTTTATGTAGTGGATTTGTGAGAGTTCGTCCTCGCAGCGAACGACAAAGGATCGGTTATGAAGGAAAGATTTTATGGTTAAAAATAGGGGGGCTGGTAGAAATCGTATTTTATATAGTAGGCCTTCGTGCCAAACGCGGTCGAACGCCTGAGCTACGTCGAGAAAGACTCCAGTGGAGTACTGTTTGTTTTCGAGAGTTTGTGCAATATTAATGATGTAAAGATTGTTAAAACTAAAATGCTCGACGGTTGTATCGTTGTTATTGGCTTATCGCATTTGATGTAGCCAATAATATGTACATGTATAATATATAAAATATACTACCTAATAGTTACCTACTTTCTGATTTAGAAATTTTAAATTGCTGCAAAGATTTGGAAATAGGTTTGTCAGATAATGACAAAAAAAATTTGAATGGTTATGATTTATACGAAGAAATATTAATTTTCCACCATTTAATTGATAAAAATACTACACCACTTCTAGTACTTTCTGAAATAAAAAAACGAACGCATTTCCTTGAATATTGCCTTACAAATTATGTTAACAATTTCGCTTACATCAGCTGGAGCAGAGAGAACATTCTCAAAATTAAAACTTATAAACTTATTTACGAAGTACCATGTCACAACAAAGACTTACTGGACTTGCTACAATTTGTATAGAAAAAGAACTTTCAGAACAACTAAATTATGAAGATATAATAAATTAATAAATGATTTTTCATTTAAAAAAGCTAGACAAATTAAAGAATTATAACTGACAACATTTTACTTTAACAATTTATTATGTATTTAAAATATAAAGAAATAAAAATATATCGTTAATTGTTCAGCACACTTACTTTTTTTAAACTTCGTTTATAAATATAAGTTATTAGGTACTTATCTACTAGTATTTTAAAATTACTTATTAGTTTATTTTCTATGCAAATAATAATATGATTATACATTTATCATTGATTGCTTTGATTTTCTTTACATACCTAATAATGTAACGTACTCAATGTAAAATAATCGTTGGTTTTAAAATCGATGGACAAAATTATCTTTTGAATTAAATCTACAATTAATTTGGAATGGGGATGGAATGTATAAGATACGAATGAGGGCCCCACATTTTTTACTTGCCCCGGGCCCCGCAAAACCTAGCGCCGGCACTGTTTGTAAGTGGTATTCAGTGGTATCTAATAAAACAATTATTTTCGTTAAACATTGGTATATTATGTAATCCTTAGATTGGGGAGTTTATACTATATATTTTATACTTAATCCTATCCAGTTAAGGAGTATAGTCAGGTGTCTAATTCCTACTGTACTAACCTGGTTGATGGTTTAATGTAAATAAAGTTTTCTTAGTTATATTTTATAAGTCTTAGAAACTTATTACTTGAGTTCAAATTAACACAACATGGCAACATTTAAATAAGTTTATTCGTGGTCTGAAATAATCTAATTCAATACTATTCACTATTACTATTCACTTGATTACTTGAATAACCCAATTCTCTCGGGTGCTATAATTGACGATCAAAGGAGTAGTAGAGTATTAGTTGAACAATTAAATGTATTATTATATGATGGTAAAATTTGTTATTATTCATCTAAAAGGTATAAGTAAAAAAATCAATAACAAATTATATTTTATATACAGTCTGTCCCGAAAGTCCCGTATCACCCTTAATATCTCCATGTAAAATCACTATATTTAAACGCGGTTTTTTTTACAGTACTAAGTATGAAAATTCTGATTGAATGGCATAAAATTCATTTATTTTTTTCTTTAAATTCAAAAATTTTCAAATATAGTGATTTTACATCGAGATATTAAGGGTGATACGGGACTTTTGGGACACACTGTATATTGAATAGTTGTATACTTGTATTTGCTGTGAAATCGTACCTACTAATAATAAGTTAATAAAAAAAACTTCGGAATTCAGTATATTAAATGCTATAGATATTTGAAATTTGAATACATATGCAACACACCTCGAATATAAATATGTATTTATGTACAATGTACATAGGTATACGATATCCGTGTAATATCACATAGGTACATGCACCTATAGTATCCATTTATAACAAAAGAATCCCCATCATGACCATGCTATCAAGTAAAATATTATAAATATGATTGTAGCTATCACAATACGAAAATCCTTATTTTCGTTAACATTATTATTATTTATTATACCTTTTATTTCGAGCTTTTACAATGTATAATGACTATGGTGGATACGAGAGATAAACAATTATGAATTATTTAACATAAAAAAAAACTAAAATATAAAAATCTTGGTGTCTTCTTCGACAATTTTTTTACCATCAGCAAGAAATACAACTAAATCTGATTTTTTAAACTGTAGCAATAATGATTAATTGAAATCGTGTTAAAATATTTATCAACAAAATTACAATTCAAACTTTAAAATTTTAAATTGTACATGTAATTGATATCCTATAGGAACCTATATTCAATGTTTATACTTATACGCACGTAAATTACCCTTTTTCTAGAAAAAAAAATGAATTTCTTATTTACAATAAAGAACCTAATATAATATAATGAGTTACATTATATAATAAGTAGATATCGTTAGACGATTAACAAATAATAGAATTGTTGCATAGTAAATAGAATAAACATTAAATCAAATGTTTTGATCATTTTCCATAAGTGAGGCATATTCTGTAACGTTCTGTATAAAATAATTTATTATACTTATATTATTATTCTTTTTTTTTACATATCCACTGACATAATGTAATTGAAAATAAACAAAAAGTTTGGTGAATATTATGACGAAAATATGTATTTGTTTATAACATGATTATTACTAGTATGTTTAATATACGTTAAAAAGAACTGATAACAATTTAAATATTTAATCATTAAAAATTTGCTTTAGTGGGACTTGATTCAAAAACTGCTGGATAATTCCTATAAAAGTAGAACTTAATGCTTGTTCAAATCCCGATTGCATTTCATCAAATAATTCTCGCCAGTTTTCGTTAAGAAAATTATTCATATGATTTCCTAAAAATAAAATAATATCAGTATAAATATTAATAAAAAATGCGTAAAGGTTAGGTTAGGTTAAGTTTGGTACATATTATTATATTTTCTTTAATTTTTTTATAGGATTAGTACATATACTAATATGCGTTATAATTTAGTTAATTACATATTATGTAATTCTAAAGTATGGTACCTATATTAAAACAGGAAGGACGAAGGTACTATAAAAACTATGGAAATCAAGGATCAATTTACCACCAGTCAACACAATAACAACCATACATTCAAAAAATAAGTAATATTTAAACAAATAACCAAATGGAATAAATTATAGCTGTTAATTTAAATTTATATAACAATGAAATCATGAATTGAAATCGCATATTAGAGTAGGTATTTAAGGTAATTAAAATAATTTCATGTTATACACTTATACTTGACTTTCACTCACCAAGAACTTTGTTTCCATTAAATAGGTTATCGAACTTAATATTTATTCTTGAAGTAGTAAATTTCCAAGATAAATCTTCTATTTCTAAGAATATACTTCCATTTTTTAATGATTTTGTCATTTGCAATATACCAGTAAGCTTGAAGTCTTCTAAAAAAAAATACACCAAAATTATGTAATGTAAGTTTTAATTGAAAATGTATGTCAAAAAATATATTGTTTGCAACCTAAGGTAATTTTGCATCTTCCGTTTCCCATAATGGGTAAAACTAATATTTGTCCATTCATTTCGTATAGTCCTTGTAGAATAATTGGTTTTTGAACTTCAGATTCAATTGACATACCGTAGTTTAACGGATCGTAACTGTAATAACCCAACATCAGAAATCGTACAAAAATATTATTATTAGCACTAATATATACATGGCTTTTTTTATTATCAAATATCTCATATTTATTATATCCAAATCCTTAAAGTTGAGTCTGAGTTTGATTGATTGAATCCCTTGGTCTATTCCTAATTTCGAAATTCTCAATGGATCCATTTTACGCAAGCCCAAACTAGGAATACCTACATAATATCATCAATATTTAAAGAAAAAATTACATTGAATCGTATATTTTAAATTATGATATGTCAGATTGAATATTATTACCCATTGCTAATTGAGGAATCGCTCTTTGTAATCCAGCTCTAACACATTCATTGAAAGCTAAATCGCTAGTATGGCACCTCACAAATTCTTTAGCTAAAACATAATATTATAATAAGAACAATTAAATACATTTAAATTTTAATTCTAAATAAAGGTTCTTAATGGCAGCATTTATTAATATTTTGAATTATGACATAGAACAAACTGAAGAATAATAGTTTTTTTTAAAATTGAATTAATTGATCTGGATTGAACCTTGCATAATAGATTTTAAAATATACAAATCCAATAAAACTGAATAAAAACATCAACGATAAAATAATAAGATCTCTATTTATCCTAAAAAAATATTTTCACTTAAATAATGACCAACCAACTGAAAACAATTTTATTGAAACGCATTTTCTCTATAGTTTATTCTTACTCAGTTACATGTCGAGAATCTAATAATAAAATCAAAAATGACCCATTTAAAGCAACAACAAGATGAAATAATAAATCATCGAAATCGAAAAACAATTTTATACGGAGTTTGGTACACCGTAGTGTTTATAGGAAGTTTTAAAAGTTTTAAGTGCCCATTATTTGCTGAATTACAATTTACAACAAAATAACTCATATTTATTTTGTTAAAACTGTTCCTTCAACAATTTGGAAATCTTAAAAAACCATTGTTAGATATCAACATTTGTATAAGTCAATAATAGAACTGATCAATAAATAATAATATGATGTTATGTACATTAATTGAAAACAAATTAATTTTTATTAATATCAATCCCTATAATATTGTGAAATAATATATTCGTAAATCTTCTACGAGTATGTTACAGCTATATAACAATATTTAAAGATATTTACACATCATTTAGAACTTTATCATTGAACTATAATAATATATATTATAGGAAAAACATAGTTTAAAAAAAAAACTTGCCAAGTCAGGGATCAGCATGTAAACTTTCTTGATTTTTATTTTTTTAGAAATGTATTAACTGATATCACACCCAAGCGGTAGGTATAACAATTTGAATCCAGAAAAATGTCGGTGTGAACAGCCCCACAAAAATTCATTTTCATTTTCATTTAGTGAAATAGATCTCCGAAACCTGGGAGCGGATTTCGTTGTTTGGGGTCTTGTTAGATTCACATTGATTAGGAGAAGTGCAGTGAAGATTTTCAGAACTTAATCTTTAATAATTAATTCACTACAGAACATTAAAAAAAATTTTACTGGGAGATTTTTGATGTTTTTCAGCTTTACAGCTTTGTAATGAATTATTGATTGGAGATCAAGTTCTGAAAATCTTCACTGCACTTCTCATAGCTAATGTGAATCTAACAAGACCCCAAACAACAAAATCTGTTTTCCAGTTTCGGAAATCTACCTAGCTAAATGAAAATCGATCGAAAAATAACTCTTTTTTTATATGTTAAAAATTAAATAATTTTTTTTAAAAAATTTTTATTTCACATTTCGTATCCACTTCATAATCCCTTTTTAATGAGTTATTAACCAACTTTCTAGCTATTATAGTTTAGGAAAAAAGTTTAAAAAAATAGAAATTTTGGGACTGTTCACGACGATTTTTTTATGGATTCAAGTGGTTATACTGCTTGGGTGTGATATCAAATCTCTCTTATCAATATTTTATATTAAATCTAGCTAAATTACTCACCTACTCATCATTACTGAGTGACATTTTTATTATTTTCCTATTTAACACAAATTCTTGAAGTTTTCAAAATTCAGACCTTTTCATTTCAATTACCATACTTACTTGATTAAAAATCAAAAAAAAGTAAAATATTATGATGTTGTTATGTACATTCATTGATAACAAATCAATTTTTATCAATATATCAATCCCTATAATTTTGTGAAATAATATATTCGTAAATCTTCTACGAGTATGTTACAGCTATATAACAATATTTAAAGATATTTACGCATCATTTAGAACTTTAAACATAATTTAATTGTAATAATATATATTATTGGAATAATAAAGGTGAGGAAGTACGTGTCACTCAGCTGTACAGTAGACTGTAATAAATGGTGTTAAATTTGAATTCAATGAAATAATATCATTGTATACGAAAAAATATTCAGAGCGAAGACGGTCAGACGGACTATGATATTATATTACTAAGTATATTAATTGCTGATATTATTGAGAATAAAGTAAATTATTTACCGATTTTCGTGGAACCTTGTTTATAATTTTCAATCTTTCGCTATAAACGATGATCATTTTATAAATTTTTAACTACAAAATCTAAAATTTAAAATTTGATCAATTTTGCCGAAATTCAAACATTAAATGCTTATATAAAAAATGTGTGCTTACATAATTCCATCAGGGACCTTGTATTACATTTTCAAGCTTTTGAACTTTTGACTTAATGAATACAATTTTATTAACATTTATAGAAAAAAAAATTGCTAAAAACAAGTCGAAATATTTTTAAAATGTTATTGTGTATGGAAAATATAAACATTCAGTGAAAATTGCATGTATCTACATATTGATCTATGTTTTAGAGTTACACCAAACACAAAAATCGATTTTGTAGAAAACCAATTAACCAAAAATTTTCCTTAATTTTTGTTTTGTTTTTCCCAGCGCTTTTGAAAACTACTGGGAATTTCTACCTCCTAAATAGACCAACTAGATTCACTTTCTCATCGAACAAGATACTGAAGTTGAAAATTGAATCATTATTTCGACTATTTATAATATACAGACTAAAAAAAAAAAACACAAACATTATTGTACAATCAATACATTCATGGCTCCCCTTAGAATCTAAAATGTGTAAATGTTTTTTTTTCTGTGTAAATATGCAAATGTATAGAATGTATTTATAGTGTTGGTAATGAATAATTCGTTAATCCGGATGATCCTTAAAATCCTGATATGAATACACGTATAATTTAGATAGGGATTGGGATTTCCTTCTCATCCCTAGTACGTACCTAATATACGATGTGTAGGTTAGGTATATACGGTATGCATATTTTGAAGAAGTTTAACTGATTTTTTTATGAATGATATATTTAAAAGTATCCTAATTCCTAATATATAAAATTTTGAACGAGTCTTCGTTTTAATTTTTGCGTAGATTATAGGTTAGATTAAGTAGGCGTACTGTATACACAATCATTAAAACAGTAGGACCATAGTTACGAAGTCGTAGATTGCTCAGACTACCGACAACTTATACCATGCAAACTTCTGATCTACTCGAAGAAAAAAAGGAACACGAAACTTTCACAAAAATAAATCCCTTTGTCCGTCTTGAATATCATACACCCCTGGCCCATTGCTTTTAAGTTCTCTTGTTATTACTTTCAGGATGCCTTGGCTACATTTTTATTGCATTTTCTAAAGTCCTAACTGTTATCAAATAACTTTTATGAGTTTAATACGAATATAAAATATATATTATATTATTTATACTTAAGAAATGTTATTGAGTAAAATTTATTAATTTTTTCGAATCGAACTATTATTTAAGAATGCGTTTAATGACTAATAAACATTTCATAATATCGATATTTTAAGTTTTTGATAATTCTGTAATAAAACCATTTACACTTCCATAATTACAGTAGTGAAACCGGGCATAAGCAAAAATACACGGCGTAAATTTAATTATCATATTTTTATTTTTCGAATTCAAAAACAAGCTGGAATAGTTCATGGCTCCAAAATATAATGACTATAGTCATAACTATAATATGTAATTAGGTATGTGATTGTGGTCTGTTTAGTTGTTAGTGTTTCTATGTATACTAACATACTACCTATTGCCTTTAACTTGTATACATAGTACATACCCTACATTCATGTATACCTAGACGGCTATATCTAACAATATGTATACAAAATAATATCTTAAGTTATTATCCTTATTCAGGGACGTAATTTGAGTAAGATCATAGTGTAACAAGCATAGTGTATAATATCTTGAATTGAATTGTACGTGGTCTAATGAAGAATGGGAACAGTCGGTAGTTTAAATAATAAATTGGTGGGTAGGTAGCAGTTGCTACCCCTCTTGGCCTCGTTACCTCGTAAATACGCCTATGTACTTATTAATATTATAATTTTGTTTAGCTACTTTGAATGAAGCAAAAATGTAAATATTATCATTGAGTGTACGAATACTCAAATATTCAATAATGATATTAGGTACATATCAATCAATATCGATTTTTCCCACGATTTACCAAATATTTTAGATTCTGAGCGGAGCGATAAATGTATTGGTTTTACAATGATGTATGTTTTTATATTTATTTTTTTTTGTGTCTGTGTACACGATAAGTAGTCGAAATAATGCTTCGATTTTCGACTTCAGTATCTTGTTCGATTGGAAAGTGAATATCGTTGGTGCATTGGGAAGGTCAAAATTTAAATTTCCCAGTAGTTTTCAAGAGCGCTGGGAAAAACAACATAAAAATTAAGGAAAAACGGGAATTTTTACGCAAAATCGGTTTTCCAAAAAATCGATTTTGGTTTTTGGTGTAACTTTAAAACAAATAACCGTAGATACATGAAATTTTCAGTGGTTGTTTATATTTGCATTTTCTATACACGATAACATTTTCAAAATATTTTGATTTATTTTGAACTGTTTAAGGACATTTTCATTTTTCATTTTTTTTTAGTTTATTTT